GTTTTCATGAGGGACGTGCAGCTGGAGCACCATTTCCCCATGGCCTCTAGCAAAAGAAGCCAAACACCACATTTGCCTCCCCCTTCTTCTGCAAGCAGCCATCCCACAGGTGTTAGACAAAGCCCCAGAGCAAACGCTCATTGGAGACGCAATTTGGAGCAGCCAATACACAAATCTCCAAAGCCTCAGCCCTAGAGATAGGGAGCAGAGCTGCTCCCTGCAAGAGAAGTCAATAAAAACAGGCGAGCAGAAAGGAAAGGGCTGGAAGAACAAGAGTCATTAGTGGAAGCTTGTTTGTGCTAATTAGATCATTATCTGGAAAGTATTGATGTTGCTATTTCAGCTCCTCTTGCTGTTTACAACTTTATTTTATCCATGTCTACCAGGGAAGCACTTCCTGCTGCCAGCCCTCCCTCACTCAGAGCCCTCCAGCATCACCCCAGTTCCATAGCAGGACAGGGAAGAGCACTAAGGCTCCCAACTGGAAGCCAGCTCCAGCACCCCAACACTACCCTGAAACACCAATTAAAAACAACATTAGCAGAGAAGGAGATTAAAGCCACTAGCAGTGTGGGTGCAGCAGGAGGTCAGGAGAGCAGGCTGCACACTGCTGTCATTTAACGTACCGTGTCACCTCTGCCTGGCTCCATTAGCAGCAGAGCTGCTCACAGCCTCAGGTTTGACTCACGCTGCCTTCACTCAGAGGAAAATGTTTTCCAGTTTGTCAATACGTGCCCTGCACTATTATTGATCTTAGAGAGATGCTGTACGAGGTTATTCGGTTATTAAAAAAGAGGTGAGAGGGAGAGAGAAAGATTTGGACACCTGTAGGATCTGTGCAGTTTCCTACCCGGCAGCAAGCACGGTGCCACGTCACATAAATAATATTGATGTAGGACCTTAACATTATCAGATTTTCTCATTGCTGGTGTGAGCTATAACTGAATAACCCTGACCATTTGATTTTTCACATCTTTGAGAAGTAAACCTGAACAACACAGATCCCAAGCTGATTGCTTTTGATTTATTACAGTCAATTTTTTTCTACCTGGAACCCATACTCCTCCTCCATCTCTCTGAGCTAAGGGAGAACAGTGAGACTTGGACTGAAGAGGACAAACACGAGGCCAGAAACTCAGTCTACAAACGATAAGCTGGGGAATTGGGCTTGGAGTATGTGAAGGGCATTCCAACTTTCACCTGCAATGGCAGCTGCAAGGAAAACTACTGCTCAGGTCTGCATCATTACAACTGGCTTCTGATTTTGCCTTTCACAGCATTTTTGTGCCAGTTCTACACTATACTTGTAGGAAAAGAAAAAAGAAAAAAAAAGGAAATTAGCACTCACACAAGTGAATTTCTTTCTGTCACTGGACTGCAAAAATACTCCTCCCAGAGAGCCACTTCAGGCACAGGGGATGCACTGCCTCAATGGGAGGGGACAGCCATGGCAGTCCAGCTCTCTTCCCAGAAAATCCCTGCAGACACAGGGAACCATGTGGCCCCATCATCCCAGGATCACCCCACTTCCTCCTGTGAGCATGCAGTGCACCCAACACTCACTCATACCTCCCAGAACCCTCACTATGTGCAGCCACGTGAAGCTGCTCCCATGATCAATGCTTGCTTCCCTGAGGCTGGTGGCTGTGCAATAATTGCTGTAAGTGCCAGAGGTGTCAGGGAAGATACCACCAGAGACAAGTCAGACACAGACCATTCCTGACTTCTGGGATCAGTCAATGGTTAATGGTGAGACTGGTTAATCTCACATACTTGGTAGAGAGTGCATTTATACCCATCAATCCAAAAGAACTTGTACTCTGTTGCTTTAATAAACTGCACTGTTTGATAACCTAGCCATAAGAGCTCTGTATCCGAGCGTGGCTCAAACTCTGCTAATAAAGAGAGGCTGTGTGAACCCATTGGGATGTCACCAAACAAATGGAGCAGTGATGCTGAATGCCACCAGGCAGACTATGCATCACTGTGAATCTAAGCTCAACCACTAACTCCTCTGATAGCTGAGAACAAGATGGAATGCACACAAGGGGTTATTTTCTGCCAAATCACATTGCCCTTTAACACACCAGTACAATAGGAATGCACAGAAAGGTCAGTGTGGCTCTGCTACACTCACGAGGTGTGAAGCAAGCCCATACTTAGCTCCTCCTGACCTTTCCTGCAGAGCTCACCTGCATCCCTGGGCTGAGCTCTGGTTAAAACACCAATACACAGCCCCTGCTGCACTATTAAACAGAAGCATACTCAAATAACTCACCTCAAACTTAGAAGATGCCATTAGCTATTAACAAACACTCCAGGCCCATAGGTGAAGGTAATTCAATATGATGTGCTTGAGCATGCAAGGTAATAGGTTTCAGCTGAACACCATGTGATGCAATCTCTTCTAGAGGAGGTTAAATGAGGCTGAGACAGGGACCAGATGGATTTATTTGGGTAGCAGGTTTTTTTTCATTTGTTTTTGTGTGCATCTGTCTCTGTGCTTACGGTGAAGTGAAAGTAAGGAAAGCAGCAATAAAAGCATGAGCTCTGCTACACACAATTGGGGAGGGCTAGCACAGGGCTCAGGTCTTCATCCTGGTGAAACAAATCAAGCAAGCAGGGCTATCCTGCCTTTCTGCACTCTCATTATCTGCTACTGCTGGAAGCCTCTGCTGTTAAGTGAGCTGATTCAGAAGAGAACTGTGATTTCTCCTCCCTGAACTATGCATAAAAAAAAAAAAAAAAAAAAAAAAAAAAAAAAAAAAAAAAAGGAATAAGCACCTCTCCTACACAAAAGAAAGCTGAAAGCAGTAACTCTAGCAGCAGTTAGACACAAAGAGAGGCAGCAGTGATCTCACTCACATTTTTAGAACAGGTTTCTCATTACTGAACACACCTGAGCGCTTGCAACAGAACCTGGATGCGCTTGCAAGTAGAGGCATTAGCAGCCACACCAGCTGGAACCTCTACAAGTAGGCATCAGCTACAAAACCAGCCATTACCTGAGAGCAGTGAGACTCAGCTGGGGCTCTGAGAGGTTTGCACTTGCTCGAATGTGCAGCAAGAAGCACAGCGGCCCAGCAAGAGCAGCAGCCTCAGTATCTGGCCCTGATCGAGCTGCTGCACTTGGCCTGTCAGAGCCACTTCTGTTAACCACTGTGCAGAATGCTATCGAGGATTTTATAGTAATTAAATCAGGAAGTGAATAACCCACATAACCAGACAGCAAAGCACAACGAGGCATCAGGCTAAGCAGCTTGGCCAGTGCTAGTCAATGCCTCAACACTTTCATTAGAAATGGGTGCAAATCATTACCTGGAGCACTTCACAGCCAGCAATCCCAGTCAACATGAAGGAAAGCCCCAGACCCCCAGGCCCAAGGCAGGACCACCAATACAACAAGAGGATAAAGCTGACAGCCAGCAGCAGGGCTGCAAGAACAGAGCATCTCTGGCCTGGCCCTTCCCAAGGCAGCTGACCCATCTGGCACGAGCTGCAGGGCAGTACGAGAGGGATGGGCACAAGGCTTGCTTCTGGCAGCAGCTGGCAAGAAAGGCCGCAAGGAGCCCACTGCAGGGATGGCAGCACAGGGCTGCAAACATGCATGGCCTCAATCAGAGACAGCAGTTATTCCCAAATCCATTTTTAAATGGAAACAGTACTCAATAAAAATCATAGCTTTAATTGCTGACTGTGCCACCAATAAATTTTTACAGCCACCTTGTAAGGAAGGATATCACAGACTAAGGCAACCATGCACAGACCTGTTTGTCACAGAAATTGGAAGTCACAAAAACTGTTTGGACAGCAGCAGGTGCCTGGCAGACTCAGCCACACATCAGAAAGGCTGCAGATAACGGCAGGGCAGCTGGCTCTCAGCGCTGCTCTCCTGCCACAGATCCCCGTTACACAGCCTGCCCCAAAGGACAGCTGGAACAAAGCTCTGCCAGAGGAGACAGAAGGAGCTGCACAGTCCCACGTCTCTCCTTGCCAGTGCCAGCAGGGAGCTGGGGAAGCTCAGAGCTCTTAGTGAGCCCTGACACAGCTCCCCAGAACTGGTAACATCAGGGAGAACCACAGAGTCCAACAGTCTAATTTCTGAACACCAAAAATAAGCACAATAGAGAGACAGAAAAGGAGAGTTTGGTTCTCCCCTCCTTCATAATGACAGTAATGGAGGAGAAGCAGGAAGACAAAAGGCAAAAGCAAAGGAAAAAACTTTGAAGTTAAAAGCTGTGACAACAAGAGCTTCCAGAAAAATAAACAAAGTGAAGTACTTTGATTAAAACAGAGGGCAACGGGTGAGCAGAGGGCGGGAAAAACAATTACTTTTCTAAAGATCTACTGAAGATCCACTGAAGATCACTCACCCTTCCAAGGAGCAGCAACCCTGGTGGCCCCTGCGCCTCCTGCACTCACTGCTGCGGGCTGCAAAAGGAAACCGGATTCTTCTCCTTTTATCTGCAGGATTCCCTCGGTCCAGGGCTTGTTAGCAGAGCATTTCCTAACAGCACTTACGGATCACTACTGAATTTGTACCCGTTTCGCAGTAACCTGAGCAATATCACCAGAGCCAGGTGCCACACTGCCAGGCTCTCAGCCAACCCTCGGCGCCGGCAGGCCAACCCCACAGCTCGGCCTCGCAGCACTGCAGTAAAAACGCAGCCCGTGCTTCGCGAAGCTTCCATCAACTCAGCACGTGGCAGAGCTCAGAGGCGGAAAAAAGCCCGGCGCACAGCAGCGCCGTGTGCTCAGCCTGGAAGAAGTCACTGCTGGAAAGCAGCAACTACTGCCACGAGTGACCTCCTCCGTTCTGCTCTCGTAGCTCTCCAGCACGTAACACTCACGCTACTCAGTAGTACTAACATGCGTTTTATTCAGCAGCCACGATCCCAACGTGGTCCTCGAGGCACACCCGCCCCAGCCCCCCTCCGCCCGCAGAGCCGATGCTCGCACCCCGCCGCACGGAGCTGCCCGCGTTTCTCCCCCGCTCTCACCTCGGGCTGCTCGCGCTGCTCTGCGGCTCTCCGAGCTGCGGGAACCGGGATCTCGGAGCCCCGCGCCGCTTGGGCCGCGTCCCGCAGGACGTCCCGACGCTGCCGGGGCGCGGAGCAGCTGCGTGCTCACAGCCGCTTCCTGCTGCAACCCCGGCCGGGATGAGTGCCCGGCCCGGGCAGCTGAGCTGAGCTCCTCGGCCCGCCCTGCGCAGCCGTGCGGGAGAGCGCCGCGAGGGAGCGCGTGCCGGCATCGCGCCGAGCGGCCCGACGGGGCTCGTTTGTTGTGTTTCGTGCTGTGCTTTAAACGACTGAGAGCGGCAACAGACGGCAGAGCAGAGCGGCGGTCCCGGGCCGGCACCGAGCCCCACCCGGGCGGGAGAGGAGCCGCAGCCAACGCCGCTCCTTGCGGGACACCGCGCCGCCCGCGGGCCTCGGCCTTCACACGCACCGCACCGCGCGGGAAGGGCTGCGAGCGGCGCGAGGCGGCGCTGCGCGGGAAGCCGTTGGGAGGCGCGCGGCCCCGCCCAGCAGCTGGGCCCGCCAGGAGTTACTTTCTGCAATCTGCATCAGGAAGAGAACATTGGAACAGAAGTTACCCGCGGCCCGTCCTGCAGTCACCCAGAGAAGAGCTGTTTCCACACAGCACGTAGCTCGGACGGGCTGTGGAGCAGCACGGGGCAGCCGTGGCCGTGCCCCACACGGCGGTCCCAGCCCCCTGTCAGGGTGCCACGATTTTAAGAGTTCCATTTGTCCAACATTTATCACCTATAAAACTCAAAGAAAGGAAGCCCACGCTCTGGAAACTGCCATTTCCGTGACAGACTGAAGGCAGAGGGCAGGCACTAACCTAATAAAGCTGCAGAGATCGATCTTACAAAGCAGGTGGAAAGGCTTGGACTGATGCATGGCAGTGCCCCGAAGAGATGAAGCAGGGGAGATTCACCTTCAGAATGAAGACACTTGTCTTCCAGAAAACAGCGCAGAGCAACACAGGAAGATAAACTAATAGAATCAGGCAAATAAACCCATCACTTTATTAGGCAAGCTGAAAAGCAAATCTGTGGAATTAGGAAGAAACTCAGTAAACCATGATGGAAAAGAAGACAAATTAGAGGGAACTAGGCAATACTGAGAAGCAGATTGTCACTGTCCATCAGACAAAAATCAGAGTAAGGTCGGACGGGGCTGGCGAGGAACAAAGAGCTGTCACCGTGACTGACTGCAGTGCAGGTGGGGAGGCTCCTGTTTCATACATGCACAAAAAAGCCGGCAGGGAATGAGAAGTCACTTGGTTGGCAACAGTAAGGAGGCGATGTTATAAAGCTCCTTCCCTCTTTAAAGCTTAAGGGCTGTGAGCACAAGCAAGCACAGAGCTGGTCAGGGCGCAGCTCCACATTGCTATGGAAGACATGTTGCAAGAAAACTAGAGCTCCTGTCACAGCAGGCTGGAGCAGCAGCCGAGATCCAAATCAGGCCGGATCCAGTCAGCAGCTGCTCCTCTGGCAGCTTCAGCATCACACAGCTCACCCAGCTGGGAGCAATGTCCTTGCCACACCACACCACCTGCAGAGGCCCCAGCCCCTTCCAACTCAGAGCATGAGACTGTGCACCTACCCTGTTTCCAATGAACTAGGCAAAGCTCTGATCAGAGAAGTATGAGATCCCTCCTCATCACAAAGGTTTCCATGCTGCATCCTCCATCTCCTGGAGGGGGGCTCTGATCACCTGATGATGGGCTTAACACAAAAAACATGGGGAGAGCACCTGAAGAGCAGGGGGAGGAGAGCTGTAGCTGAGAAGACAAACTCTGAAGCAGGTGGACTGGGGTCTCACACCTGAGCAAGCATTAAGTGTCTAATTAGCTCAATACCTCCATTTCAAAACCGGTTTTGAAAGAAAGTTGCTAGGAGTGCATGGCAAGTAAAGCAATCTGGGCAGAGAGGGCAATTCAGTTTCAAGTGTCAAATCAAGTTAGAGGCAGAAGACAAATTTCAGCCAATTCAGAGGACAAGAGCTCTGTGCAGAGTAACAACTCACATAACTTGAAGTCAAACAAGGAGTCGCCCAATATAGGCACATTCAGGCTAGAGACAAGCCTGCAGGGGATGACTAGACTGAAGTTCTGTACACATTTGCCTCAAATCTGCTTTAGATGTTCAGGTGTTTTACTTGGATTTATGCTCAGTGAGGAATACCAGATCCAATCTGTCTGATAACAAGAAAGATTTCACTGCTATGTAATGTTTATATATGTTCATAAATGGAATACTGAATGCCATGTTATTCTCTGAAAAGATTATACTAAAAATACCATTAAAAAATGCTTGCCTACCTTTTGTACATTGTTTTTCTACCAGAAAGCTACCTCAGGATTAACAGATTAACAGTGCATTAGCATTCGTATTCCAAATTCAGTATCTCTGGTCACTTTCTTGTGTTTGCACAGACCACTAACTTAAGGGCTACGTGAAATTGCTTTGGATGCTAAATAATATTGCAAGGAAATTGCATTAGATGGGAGGGAAGAGAAATGTGACGTTGTTGTGATGTCTCTGAAGTACACTCCTATTTACTGCACTTTCCCCCCTCCTCCCAGGAATAATATGGCATTCAATTTTTCAATTAGATAAATATATGAACACTGAGTTACTAGAGGCAGATAATTAAATATTTTACCTACTCCACAAGTGGCCCTTCATATTTTAAATAGGAAATAGAGTATACTGCATCAGCCTGTGTATGCACAGGTTATGAAAATCTGTATGAGATCCAGAGAATATAAAGATCTCCAGTGCTCTTTATATGCAACAGCTAATTTAATCCACTGATATCAGGGTAACTTCTGTAGTAGCCAGAAAGAGAGTATTTTAGGGCATAGACTGCACTACTTGAAAGCTCCGAAGAAAAGTATTCACATCTGTACTATTTCAAATCCTAGTCTTCTATAACTCTGTCTTTACAGGACATCAATCACAAGATGAGGGAAACTGTAAGCTATTTTCTAGTAACACACTGCCAATCGCAAGACAAATGTCAGATGTCACAAAATGAGAAGTAACCATTTTTCAACTTGGGAATGTCTTCAAATATATTACAATGAGACTGTGAAAAAAAATGACCCTTTCAGCTTCGTTTGTTCTGACAGCTGCCAGACCTCAGAGTTTGGCATTTTATCTTCATACTGCAATAATCCTTATGAAACTTAAACAAGGCAGAGGGCAGTGGCATTATGTACAAAAAATTACAAACACTGAACAAAACCAAGTGTCTACTACTGCTCTTACTTGTGTTACAGAAAAAGAAGGAAAAGAGAAGCAGCTACTCCCACATTTGTTATTGTGATACATGCTAGGTATTAGATTCCTGCAAGCCAAGCTTGACTTCTGCGTTGCATTGCCATGCTCCTGATTGCCACTTTGGAAAACAGCATGCTGTTTAAAACAAAAAAACAGGAAAGTAAATCCTAAACATTTCCTAGAGTAAAAAGTCACTCAATATTGTGTGTGCATTTAGTCCTTGACATTAAGTGTGAGGACTTTCTCCACACTGACAACACGATTCCTGTATGGCAGGCAACAATTCTTGTACGTCAGCCACTGGAAGATGCAGACATCAAGATCAGGTCATTTTCTCAAGCCAAACCTAACTGCCCAAACATTGTGCCTTCTTAATATTTTGTCATTTTTGACAGTATGACAAACGCTAGAACATGAGTAGATTATTAACATTAAATAATAAAGGAGGAAAATCAAATTATACATGATCATAATAAAATATGAGACCAGAAAAAAATTGACTGAACAGCACCGATGTACCAAGTTATCTGTGTCCTTTTCAGCCAGTCTGTCTCTGCTTAGCCCCCTCCCCAGGAGTGTGATTATGCAACCCACAGTTCATTGCTTGAAAAATAAGATTACTCTGTAGAACTCCTCCAAAAGAGCTCCAGTGGAGTCCAGCATTCTCGACAAAATATCCTGTTGAATAATATAGGTCTAAGTTGTAGAGAGTTGTAGATAGAAGAAAAATGAAGATTATGTGCAAAGTCCAAAAAAATACATCTACTCTAGATGTTACCTTTGTCCAAATAAGATAACAAACACCAAAGTAGCATGAAAATAAGCAAACCTAGAATACAGTTAGTTTAGCCTGAAGTGACCGGACTGGCCTGGATGACTTCTGGACCTGGATGACTTCTTACGCCCTTATGCAGTAAGGCTCTTTGCAGCACTAGTGCTTACTACTTGAAGAAAAAACAACACTTAAGTCAACAAATGTTACTTAATGAAGCTTGGTTGGTTGTTTTTTTTCCTGTAAATCACTGTGATCTTATTGTTTCTGCAGAAGCAAATGGATAAACATCTCTCATTTTTCTTTAAAAAGTTAACAGTACTTCTTATGGCAAGGACATGTACAAAGAAGTAGAAGCAGAAATATGATTTCAGTGGTTTAAGATTGACTTATAAAGGTAAGTGCATAGCTATAGGCAACGAGCAAATCTGTACCAATACCAACAAGCACAGTCCAAGCAACTGAAATAATGGTGTCAAAGCCTGAAGTCTGATAATCCCAGGTTTTTGTTTTCAAAAACACACAACTCGAATTTGCGACTGCAGCTCCTTAATTGGTATCCATGATACATTTAGTGCATTCAAGGCATGTAATTTCTTCAACATGAGTGTGCCTCTCAGGCAGTGCACCCAATTCCCATGATGTTGGTTATCTTCCCACTATGTTTTTGTTCCTTGTCTTCACATTCAAAATAAAAGCATTTTGTCATGTGAGATGCACTGTAGGCTCAGTGGAGAGGTTAAAAAAAATAGTAGCCATTGTGAGGAAGGATCAGTATTTGAGAATGGGACCTTGCAGCTGGCTTTTTGAAGAGCATAAGTAGAAAAAAAGGAATTCAAGAGTCTTTTCCACATCCTGCAGCTTATACATACCTGAGATTAATTCTCAGTTCTCTCAGTCTCTCCCTGCTCCTGGTGAAACAGCACCAGGATAGCGATGACTTCTACAATCGGCAAATTTACCAGCTGCGGCCGTGCGGTTTAGGAGGGGTGCATGCAGAGCTGGTGTAACCTCAAGTCCATCTGTCGGACAGGTAACCACTGCACCTCGGCGCTCCACAACCCCTCGGCCACAGAGCAGGCGCTTCTCATCCAGGGCAGCCAGGTGATACTCACAGAAGTCAATCAATGATGCCACCTGCTCATGAAGAGGGAGTGACTTGTATTTTTTCTGAGCCAAACAGAAGAAAGCTTCAACAAAGGCTTGCAAACACATTCCTGCAAGGAAAGTGACTTTAAAGGAGATTCATGGCACATAAACATAAAAATATCTCATTTCTGTGCTACCAGCACCAAGTGTGTATGGGCCAGGTATGAACATAAAGTTGTGCTAGTTAACATATTTAAAACAGCAGCCATATACAGTGTGGAAAAAACGTAGAGGAAAAAAACAAAAACCAAAGATCAAAACACAAGGTTCTGTCTGCATGTTACACACCTGGCCCATTCAGTGTCCCAGTACAGCATATGCCCCGGCTGTGTGGCAGACAGCAATTTCACTGAGGCTATTTCTGCTTTTGCAAACACCAGCCTGACCAGCGCCCTGGCAGCCTGAGCCAAACTGGTACTGCAAAGACTGCTTTCAAGGTGCTGTGCAATTAAACTGATGCACAACCAACTGTAGTTTCTGTTGCCTCAAACATTAAGTTGAAGGCAAATCAGACACACACTAACATACTGAGCTTCGAGGAAAACATTTTGTTGGTCTCCTTTCTCTCTGTATATCTCCTAGATGTCTTGGCTCGTGTCAATCAAGACTCAAGCATTCTACAATACAAGTTTATTTCAACTGAATGAAAAACAAACAACTGAATCGTAAGAAGGGAAAGTGGTGCAGTGCCAGAAAATTCTGCTGCTATAATAAGCTCTCTGCCCCTTCATAAACAAGAGTACCCTGCAGAAGACATACACTGCAGTACAAAACTCTTCATGTGTTCTTTGATCACATCAACCTAATAACAAATTACCACAGCCAATGGAAAGAAGGGCTGCATATTAACTCTAATTATTATATTTAAAACCTTAAAATAATGCCTAATTTAATTTTTCATTTGCAGAATCGTTATAGCTGCCCTGTGTTGTAATTGGCTCTCCCAGCTTGAGCATGCACTTTAAGAAGATCAGTTTAGGATGAGGTTTGTTTTTTTGCACGTATTTTTTTCTAACAACATTGGTTTATCGATGCTGCAGGAAGAACACCTTTTCTAAATATTACAATTACATTCTGAAGTATAATTTCTCTCAACTAAGACTGCAGCTGGGGTCGCTTACGATCTTGGCTGTAAAACAGCTTCCAAGAGAACTGTTGGGTTATCGGAAAGCAGCAGCTGCCAGCTCAGTGAATTATTTTATCAGTCACGGTGAGCTGCAGGCAGAGAAAGCACCTTTAGCAACATCCACACTGCCTGCTCTGTAAGTGACACTCATGTGAAGCACTGAATGAACAAAGTTGGAAGCCGCTGTTTTACAGCAACAGATCTCTATGGGCTACAGCTGGAAGCAGGCCAAATGCAAAGACAATAGAAGGAAATGATACCAGCTAACCACATAAACCACACTGAAATCCTAAATGCAAATACTCAATTTCCTATAGGTGTCATATCTGTAGAAAAAACTGACTAGACACCACTGACACACCTGGAAACTTCTCCACATCTGTGAAACTGAGATTCTTGATGCTTCAGCAGAAGAGACCTACAGATCTATTATTTGCAAGGGATACCTGAAGTCAGCCTCAACTGGGAGAGTTTTTTTTTTTTTAATTAAAATGTCAAAATAGCAGAAAAGATGAAAGATTCTATACACTGATGTCCAAAGTCAGCCTGGGCATCAGTTCAGCTGGGCAGCACAGGAGGCTTTTAGAAGATGTGAGTAAATTAGACCCCTGAAGTAATGCTCTGCTGCCCTGGTGCTGTCTACCACATTAATACCTGTGAGTATTATTTCAGAAATATATATGAAGCAAGTATGCTTACTCTAACAACTTAAGTCCATAAAATAATCAGCAAAAGAAACCCTTTAGTGATGTTTTGTAACCACCTATTCTCTTGAGCAAATAATTTGCTTTAGTAACCTCAGGTAAACATGCAATGCAATTTTGATTTAAGCAGCAGAAAATGGGGCATCCTGGTATTATCTCCAGCATCCAGTACTTTAAAGTCCCCTAATGCTGCATCAATAGCGTGCTGCCATTTAGGACTAAATTATACATTTACAAAAATTAGGTTTGAAGAGGTTTTCATTGCAAGAAATCCTTTCTAAACTTCAGGGAGATACTTTCTGATGTATTTCCTCCGCTGATCTGCACACAGTCAGCTCTGGGCCCAAGGGTTAGCAGTGTGGACCCAGCGCTATTATAACCACTTCTCACCATAGGGAAACTAATTACATCTAAGAACGCCTGTCCTTTAGTGTGAGCAGCAGATAGGAGCCAAACTCACAAAAGAAACCACTGACATTTCAATTAGTTTGTTTTCCTTTGAAAGGAATTTATGAGAAATCTGTCTTACAAGCCCCAGAAGGGAATGTAGATGAATTCTCCTCTGGATACAGGTAAACTCAACAGAGTTTGTAACGTCAGATCTGTACAGAAGAGATTTGGATGGTCTGAGAGGCCTGGGCTTTTTTTTTTTTTTTTTTTTTTGGATGTGAAACCAATCTTCATGTCTATGTATAAAGATAAAAAACCATAATCAATGTAATCATATTTAAAGGAAACCAAGAAGATTGATGGGATGTTCTCTCCACATGCTTATTAAATAGTGAGATATTTTCTATAATAAGCGAATATTTTAAGTGTAACTATCTAACAGGAATGTATTTATATTCATTTTCCCAACCACTCAGCTGCACACCCAAGAAGATATGCGATGGTAACAGGGGAAATCACCAGGGAAGTGAGAGTAAGATCAGAGGTTAATAAACATTTTCCTTTTGGCTTAAGAATTCTAAAGAATTCTTACTGCTGTTCAGCAAAAAGCTTCCCAGAGCTGCTTTTCTTGTCTAACATTTTCAAGAAATACATATATAAATGCAATTTCCTAATAGAGAGGTAAATAGTTCAAATTCTGATCTCTCACATTTCCGCCAGAGGTTGCTCACTGGAAGGGGCACACTGGGTATGGGCCTGGCACCTCGTGCACAAGGAACTCTGAGCAGCTGAAAGGAAGTCCCAGGACAGGAGAATCCCTGGTGGAGTAGATTCATTTCTTATAGAAGCCTTTTAGCCATACTGAGTATTTTCTTACATTGAACATTACAACCCACACTGGATGTAAACAAGTTTAAAAGTGACTGAAGTGACAAATGCTCTTACATGCACAAACAGAAGCCATCATTTGCCACAAGGGGTGCTTGCAGGGAAAAGCACTGCTAATCATCCTTAATAAGAGCCAATTTAATAGTGAGCACCGTGTGAGTTTGTACAGAAATCAATTGTCCTTCCCTCAGCCAGCACAAAGTCAATGAAAATGGAAAAAAAAATGAGTATATAGTTGGGCAACTGGGAACTCTCTGGAAAGTAATACAGGTAGTTTTCTGTGTCCCCAGAGTAACCTGTCTGAATGACAGAATTAAATCAAAATGAAGTTCATCATATTTATTTCTAGCTCTGCCATAGGTTTTTGTTTAACTTTTTGCTAGACCATGTAAGCAACTCCAATAAGGACAGATCTTCTTACATTGTAATTAAGTTGGAAGTTCCACTGGGAATGCTTTTAAATGCTCTCCTGCAACAAGAGTTATGAATGCTAAATTACAAGTGTAAAAGGGGCTTATGGAGGATTTATGCCATTAAATAACTGAAAACTAAGAGTGATCTATTCCATAGATACAGGCAAACTGCCATGGAAGTAGATAGGAGTTGTTGTACATGCCCCAGATATATGTGCTTTTCTCCCATCGTTTTTACTGAAAGCTTCAGGGGTGCTTAAGCTATCAAAACTACAAAAAAAAAACCACCACACCAATTTTCATGGTCTTCAAATACAAAAAAGCGTTACCTGATTCTTTGTGATCAATTCCCATGCTGTTCCACCTTCGTGTGATATCAATGTATAAGATATCTACAGAAGCCATTGAGAAATTGCTGTTACTGAGCTTGCAGTTTCTGTTAAAGATAAACAATAAAAAAGATCTGATTACTTCCAAACTTCCAAGCCATAAAAACCCAGGCAACAGCAACACAGAGGACAGTGGGGAAAATTCTCCCTGTATTCTAAGTACACTCACAGATTTATCTTATATGTTACTGAACACTGCATGGAAAACAGCAGCATCTCTGGATGGATCGTAGGCATTTGGTGATAAGCAAATGTGGGAAATCTGACACTTGTGTGGTCTGAGCCCACAGGATAGTGTTGATCAGTAGATGAGAATGAGCCATCTGCCCTGCATTGCAGATGCCTGGCAGCATGGCTGGAACTAATGCATGTGCCAAAGCATCGGCCAAAAGCTCCAGCCAGGAAAAAAAATCTGTGACCATTGCTTATTTTTCTAAGCTATTTTTTAGAACGAAGAAATTACTGAAGGGGAACAAAAATTTGGGCAGATAGTCTTTGAAACCACCTGCCCACACACATCTGCAGGCAAATCACAGTTGTGTACCATTTCACTCTTGAAAAAATGAGAGGGAATATATCACACAACCTGAAAAGAGCAATAAAGAGGGCATTTCAGAAAGGCTCTGCAGTTGGTGTGGATCGCCTGGTGAAAAGTAAAGAAAACATTTGCCAGCATTAAAAAGTTTATTTTAACACACGTGAGGAAACTGCAAAGTCTATTTCATTGAGATATGACAATTTATTTTAGTATTATTAAAAGAAAATGTTGGCGTTTATACTGTGTTCATCTGACAAGTGCCAAATTAAGGCTCGACTAAACAACAGAGAATACAGAACTAGAAAACATCCTGCACCGATCCGCAGATAGAGCAGATGCCTTCAGTACTTATATATCTGTTATTTGTATAAATCAGATTGTTTATATTCATTCCTGAATGCTAAATGCATCTGCATAGAAACAGAATTTGTATTTTAAGAGTACATCCGCAGCTGCTGCTGATTTCTTTTGTCATTGTCAATGAAAGACAGAAAATGAGATATTTGTACCATGACTTGAAGAGATACATCCATAAAAGATAGAATGAAAAAAATCCCGCAAAAATAAAGCATGTGAAAAAAATATATAAATTGAGTTCCTTGCCACTGTAAGTTGCAATTTCATGATGTAAATCCTTAGTGTGCAGTGCATCAGTAACTGACATTTGAAATCCTCTGCTTTGGCCTGGGGCCGATGGCTATGCCCCACAGCTAGCAATCAGAGCTCTAGTGACCCAATTTCAATTGTCATGTTTCTAGTAAATCTCAGGAATACAGCTGTGAGAATGTGACATGCTGACCAGGACTGCAAATAGTATCTCCCAAAGTATCAGTGATCTGCTGTAGGAAAGAGACCCACATTTCTATTAGACGTGGTTTCTTAGGTCAGGCATCGTTGGATTTTTTTTTTTTTTTAAACACGCAGTGGTTCAATGAACTTCAGGGGAAAAGTTCCTTTAGAAGGCACCACTGAACCTACCAGCTCCAAGCCTGCCACTGCTAGGGCCTGCTCTTATCCAACAAGAGCTCAGTGACAGCAGTACTGCCCAGCAGGACCTTGAGTTTCTAGCTTTTCTATTACACCTTATGCCATTCCTAAATAAAGCACGTTACTCACCTTATAAATGTCCGGAAACCTGTTGGCCCCAATTTTGTTGTCCCTTTGACACCAAGAAATCGGATGAACAACGCAGCCACTCTGTCCACGAGGCGCAGATAATTAAACTGCTTAGCATACTTTGGGAACACTTGCTTGAGACAAAGGGAGGGTAGGCCAGCCTCTGTGCTTTTGCTGGTCTCGTATTCCGGTCCATCTGCTGGCCCTGCATCCAGTAGATCCTCTCTTGTTTCTGACACGTGCTCTGAAGTCTGAGATCTGTAGCATGTAAAATAACCATATCCTACGTTAACCTTATTCATGCAAGACTCAACATGTTCTTTCTGCATTTTTTTTTTTAATTACAAAGCATTATTTTATGAGATTTTTCACAATAATTTATGATCTTACATAAATACTGAAGTTCTCTAAAGCAGAAATCACACTACAGGAGTATCTAAAGAATAATGAGCAGAACGTTCGACCTTTCAGAAGGTAACAGACTAATGTGGCTCACACAGACAAGGAGCCACCAGAAACACCAGCACACAGTTACAGTCAGCAAGTTGAGATTAAAAATCGAATTTCATGACATTTCATGGAGCGTTTCATGGGAAATGCTTAGAGATTATTATAATCTAGTGGTGTTTAAACTTGTTTTCCAGTAACGATTAGAAGCTTCTACATTTCCTGATAAGCGAGGAACAAAAGCACATTAAGATACATTTGCAAAGAAACTCTAACAGCATTCGGAGGCGACACGGTTCACATCAGCGCACACTGGCACTTCTCAGAAGACGATGGCTGGGCAATCCCATTATTTTTCTTTTCAAATCCTTTGTGAGTACTGTCAAAATACATTATTTCATCTTCACTGTTGTTGCCAAATTTCCTAAATAAAGCTGATCGAGATAACAGTGCCCTGAAATTAATGTTACGTGTTTATTCAGCATGACGTGTTGTTTCATTTCTTCTGCTTCTGACACACCCAGATAAAATTAAAGATTGCTACTGCTGTACGTCCCCACAGTCGGACAGCTGGTGGTAATTGCTTGGCACCCACGAAGCATACACACATTTTCATTTTCTTCCCCATCGTTTTTCTAAGTACATATCATCAGGAATAAGTATAATTCACACCGGGCACTAAAAAACTAGTGCTTCTACCCGTTAATCTTTTGTGTTCCTGAACAGATTTAGTGTCCTTCATAAAGTTCTTTTGGAGCAGAGAGCACCAAACAACATAGTTATCATCCAACCACAACACTGTAAAATTATCCAGCCAAAGCTATAGTAAGGCTGTACTTTCCACTTTGATACTTGGAGGCAAACTTCCTCAGCCCAGTTACACCCATCCTGGGGCCAGGACACTGATCCACTGACACACTGCGTCTTCTTCCAGGATACTTGAAAGTAAAGACCACTTACAGGAAAAACTAATTAGTAACTGCAGAAAAAAGTCTGAATTCTATTGTGAGATCTAATTTCTAAAAGCCACTTTTGGAGTCTACTTTTGGACCCTCTTATAATCCAGGTTTTGAACTTATGCCTTCCCCCTATAGACGAGAGCAGCTCACCAACGTCCGACCCCAGGTGTGCTCAGCATGGGGAACCTCTGCTGGATGTCATCGCTGAGTACCTGTAATTGTGACCATTTTTTGGCAAGACAAGAAATTCTAAGCCTTTAAAAAATAAACAGTTTAGGTAAGGTAGATGGTTGTTCAGTAACACTCCTCTGCTGCAAATAGCAGCAAATAGCAAAGTAGAAAGGTAACGTTACACTGACATTTGCTTAACTAAGGACAAAAATTACACGTTCTTAGTTTCATTCCTTCTCATGTGTGACCGGATGGCAATTTCACTGCCACTGAGTGCCTTCTGGAGGCCAAGAGAGCGACCGTGTGTTCAGCCAAGAGAACAAGTGTGCTGCCACTATTTTTAATCCTAGGTCTGCTGATGAATTTTAATTCACATTTTCAGCCAGTTGAACCAGGCCATGAGCACATGGGAAACCGTGTACTCGGTAAGAGAGAAGGTTATGCCTGTAACATAACTCTCATTTAATTAAGCCTCTGTGGAATTGTAGTCATGCGCTGCTGTTCAGAGAAATCCTGAAAGCTTCCTAATCTTAAATTCAGGAGTATTTTGGATTGTACATTATTCATTAATCGGTGATTTCAGTTAAAAATATAAAACTTTCCTTTAAAAGATACTGGGAGAGCAGATGAGATTTTATTTTTCCTTTCAAACAGAAAATACTGAAGGACGGCATCGTGGAAGTCCTTCCCATCCCTCGGCAGAGGCTGCAGGGCTCCAGCAGCACAGCTCCAGCTCAGGCCTCACCTGCACGTCTGGAATTCTTCGCATGCACCTCAGTTTGGGCCCTCAAATAAGTCACTGAAACTTCTGACTGGGAGATCGAAGATGCACCTGAAAATTCATTGGCAGAGCATGATTCAGGGCTGATTTCAGTTGACATTTTGGCACAAAATAAGCTACAATAGTGAATGGCTACATAAGTGAGGTCAGCCTCAGATTCCTGCTGCAACAGCCGTCCCTGCAGCACCTGAGGAAATACAGTGGTTTAGTTCTCCAGCCTTCTGCTTTTCCATCTGATCTCCAAAAGAAGAGTTCAGCAGTAATAAATGAAGGTAACCAATATTCCAGACGCTGCTCCTGGGAAATGAGGAGCCTCACAGAAAACCCACCCACTTTCCAAAATAACGTTTGTGGAATTCATCTCCCTCACATCCCCTGAGCAGCGCTGGAGACAGACACAGCTCATTATATAGAGAGGTGGGATGGGACACCTGTGTACGATTTTTAAATGCACTGTCTCCACCAAATCACAAATGTTAACTTAGCAGCTTATTATGATCTAGGGAAACGTTCTGTTCTAGCACAGAGGTGGAACAACAGCTTTTGGCTGGGAAATTTAAACTGGCAGTGTTATCTTCTGCCCTGCGTTGACTGAAAGCATCCTATATGCACACAATCCCTGGACATTTAGGGTAGAGAAAAGCACATGCAGAAACAGAGTTAGACATGTAACGAGTTCCTAAGCCAATACCAGAGGGCTTTTTAGCATAAGAAAATCTTTGCAATCTACTACTGGCTTTCACCAGTATGTTGGGGTTTTTTTCCTCCACTACAACAGGGGGGGTCAATCAAATCACATTCCTGTGTGGATAACCCACGTTTCTTATCTAGTTTCTTCTCTCCCATTCCTGTCCCTGCCAAAAGCACTGGGCAGACATCCTGTTCGATATCTGATCCAAGCACTCACACTCCTCTGCAAGCGATCAAAGCTCCTCGTCAACACGATATGAGTATGCTGAATGTCAAAGCCAGCCACAGCAATCCACGTGAATTTGGAGGAAAAGCTTTGAACCCATATGGGTGTCAGGAAAGCAAACAATGAAAAGCATGCAGAGGCTATTTCAGTGCTGTAAAGCATGGGATCACTTTTCAGAAGTGCTTTTAATAAAACTGAGACCTTCAGAATCACGCCTGCATCAGATCCTGTCCCTGTCAATGACACTGAATTGATACATAGACTTCCCTGTCCACACTTACCTTAACTGCAGGCATTTACACAGCCCATATCCAGAGTGCAGTCCTCCACTGCTTCCACAGACAGTACTTCAATAAAAGTTTATTTTCTGCACGTCAAGTCAACAGAATTGTGTGCACCCAATCTCTGTGTGGTCTCAACTAATTAAGCAAAACTGCCAAGCTAGGTATATTATAGCCAGACTCAGTATCTACAGAAACAGAATTTTACTGTAATCTGCACATTTTTGCCAGGAAACAGTGCACAATGTTTTGGAGGTTTTTTTTTGCCTTGGTGATAATTTACACTTGCTTGCAATGCATATTACATTTTCTTCTGTATCTCAGCTGCCATCTACACACCTTAGGGGCAAACTGGATGACAACTGCCCAAGGGTCAGCCAGTCAAAGATGGGCAGAAGCACTCTCAGTACAGCTACAAAGAGCAAAAATATAGTTCAAGGTATTACAGCAGCAAATATTTAATTTAACAGGGGTTTTCAAGTCCATTTCTATCATTAATTCATCAGTCAAATGGAAAATGCAGAACTACTCTCTTTATAACATTCATAGAACTTCACGTCACTACAAAGCCTCTACATAATATTTACTACCCAGTTCTTTCTTACTCCAGAATACGATTTCTAAGTGGCATCTTAGACTGTCTCATTCAGGACTCCATCTGGAGCCCCTGCACAGCACACAAGGTTCACATGCTTTGCCTGTTCCTCTGAAAACCTGCACAATGCCTGTGCTGCGGTGGAGCTGTGGGGAAGGGACCAGAAACTCCAAAATTCAGAACAAATCTGTAGAAAGAGAAACCTGCAGAGACTTTCTCTATTGGCTCCTTCCTCCTGGGCTCTCCAGCAGGCAAGGGGAGGAGAAGAAAGCTGAGACCTGCAATTTAAAGCTGCTCCTCAGAATTCATTGTTCTGACTGACACAGCGGAGTCGGGCTGAATGAATGAAAGGTCAAATATAAGGTAATGCTTCTGGTGCCATACGGAATAATAGCAAGGCTTAATTTCCATACTCACGTCTGACCTCAATACATTAATTTCTCTAATTCTGCAGCTCACAACAGATCTTTCTTTAGAAATTACCAACAGTGGAGAAAATATTAACTGCATCTTTAAAAAAGAACTGCAATTTTAAGAAAGCTTATGAAAACAACATCCAAGACTACTTATCTTTTATGCATGAGCACTAACTTATTAATGTTTTCTCCATCTATGTCATATCCCTTTCATTTTGACTGGCCTTAATCTTTATGCAAATACAAGTTGCTAAGGGACAAACAAATTTGCAACCACTAATTAAAGGCTGCAGCATTCACAACATTTTGTACGCTTGCACAGAAATTTTGGCTGTCCAGCTCAGAACAAAATCGGGCAACAATTGGAACAGCAGAGCTCTAAGAATGCTTGCTTGATACATTTAACATTTATAGCACTGTAAGAAGTGAAAACTAAGCAATTTTTTTTTTTTTTTTTTTTAAATCAACCGACTACAGCTTACCTAATAGAGGAAAACACTCTGTTCTGGATTCTGAAGCCATAATTAATTCCCTCTGCTGAGCCTCTCCTCTCAAAGCAAGGACTACATTAGCAAAGTTATAAGCACAGAAGATTTCCATGACAAATCTGTCTATCCACCCACTTATCACCATTGTATGCAGATCTCCCCCAAGAAACTGATACGTGTCACTGGAGGCTACAGGTGTGAACG